ATGCTGGTCGGCAAGATTGCTAAAAGAGAAGAGAGAGAGAGAGAGAGAGAGAAAGGGGAGGGGAGGAGAGAGAGAGAGAGAGAGAGGAAGAAGAGAATGGCAGATGGAAGGACGAGGAGCGAGAGAGACGCTACTGAAGGCGTTGCGGCTCCACGAATCCTGTTCCGTGGCTCTTGTCGCTGCGTCGCTGTGCAGCGAATCCTTCTCTTGAATTTTCCCCGAAAGTTGGTGGCGTCCCTCGACCCATGCGCCGTCCCTCGCAAGGAGCGCGCAGCCAGGCTGACCGCGTGTTCGGAACCGTTGTTAGCGTCTTCCTTGGCTTTCATTTTCGGGAGTTTTATTTATTATCATTATTATGATGATGATGACGATTATTAATATGATGATGAATAGAATGATGATCATTATGATGACATGGATTATTATCATTATGATGACAAGGATTATTATCATTATGATGACAAATGTTATTATTATTGTTATTACTGTTATAATTATAATTTTATTATTCTTATTGTTATTATTATCATTGTCATTGTCATTTTATGCATTAGTTTTCATTATTAATAGTTTCATTATCTTTATTACTGTTCTTGTCTTTATTGTTATTATTTCTCTTAATATATAATATTATTATTTTAATAATTGTATTGTTTTGCTATCATTATGATTTTTTTTGGTATTGTGTTTATTGTGATTATTATTATTCCTTATTATTGTTATCAATATAATCATCATTATTATTACCCATTGTTATTATTATTATCAATATTATTGTTATTATCTTTATGTCTGTCATTACGATTATCGTTATTATGCGTTTTTTTTTATCATATCTTTATAGTTTTATCATTTTCATAATTCATCATCATTATCATTATCAACATCAGTTATAATTATCTTCGTTATTATCATTATTTTTTTCATCATTCTTCTTTCTTATTATTATTATCATTATCATTATTATTGTCAATATTTTTTTCTATTGTTTTCCTAAATATTACTAGTTCTAATGATAGATTTTTCTCTAATGATCTCTCTCTCTCTCTCGCTCTCTCTCTCTCTCTCTCTCTCTCTCTCTCTCTCTCTCTATTCTCTCTTCTTTACTTCTCCCTCGCTTCTTCTTTCTATTGTCTTTCTCTTCTTTCTAATCATCCCTTTCACTCTCTCTCTCTTCCCCATTTTCCCTCCTTCCTCTCTCTTCCTGATTCTCCCCTTCCTCTTCCCTTTCTCTTCCTCCTCCCTTCCTCTCTCTTTGCTCTACCTTTTTCTCTTGCTTTTCCCCTCTCTCCCTAACCCACTGTCTCCTATTCAGCTCTCTCCTTTCTTTATTTTTCGTCTTCCTCTATGCATTTTCTTCTCTTCCACTTTCACTCTGTCTCTTTCTCCTCTTCCTTCTCTGCTATATCTCATCCCCCTTCTTGCTCCTCTTCTTTATAATCCTCTTTTTCTGCTGTCTTGCTCTGTTCCCCGCTTCCTCTTTCATTTGCATCTTTTCTCTGTCTTTTTTCTCTCCTCATTTTCTGACTTCCGTTCTCTTCTTTTCTCCTATATTCCTCCTTTTTTCTCCCTCTTTTCTTTATTCCCTTTTCTTTTTTCTCTCTCCCTTCTTCTCTTCTTCCTTTCCTTTTCTCTCTCTTCCCTTTTCTCCCAATCGCCATTCCCTTCTCTTTTTTTTTCCTACTCTCTGCTCTGCCTCCTCATTTCTTTATTCTTCCTTATCCCCCATTCTTATCTGTTTCTCCTCCGCTCTTCGTCCTCCACTCTTCGTTCCTCCTTTCGCCCTTCCCTCTGTCTCCTTTCCCTCCCTCTTAGTGCAAGTCTCTCTTTCTCCTTTCTTTTCTTTTCCTTCTCTCCTCTTCCCTACTCTCTCTCTCCTCCGCCTCTTCCTTCCTCTCCTCTCTCCTCGGGAAGGACGCCCTTATACCGTGAAAGTAACAATGAAGATAATAATAACAATGAAATAATTATGATAGTAATAATGATGGCGATGAATGCAATGGAAAAAAGCAAACAGATAACCAATAAAGTATCTATAAAAGAATATGATAATAAGTAAATAAAAAGTAATAACAAATCAAAGATATAAGAAAGGAAAACATAAATAAATGACAAATAGAAATGCAATATAAAAGAGTGAAAAGAACAAGGATATAGAATTAGTATGTGAGTAGATACACGTATAAGAAGTTAAAGATAAGGGAATAAAGCATTGAATTAATAAATAGTAAAAAAAAGGGATACAAAAATATAAAGTAATAAGACAATAAGAAATAAAAAGATGATCTAATAAAAGATGAAATGAGATAATAAAATAATGAGACAACAAAAAAATAACAGAAAAAAAAGATAAATCATAAAAGAATAAATTAGTTATTAAAGGTAAGATATAAGATATGACACTGATATCAGTCGAGTAATTGTTCCAGCAACCATATATTTCCCTAATTATTTTGTTGTAATTATTATTATTATTCATTGTATTCTATTATCATTATTGTCATTGTTATTTTCATGAACAGTTAAATATTATCTTTGACATTTTTGTCATGATAGTCAGCATTATTTTCATTGTTGTGTCTGTTCCTGTTATTATTATTATTGGTTTTAGTAGTGGTGATTGTATTTTAATTATCATGTTATTATTTGTTTATTATTATTATCATCATCGATATCATCATCTATCATCATAATGTTTATTTAATATTATCATAGTTATTGATATGATTAATACTATCATTATAATTATTATTATTGTTGCTGTCGTCGTCACTATATACTATTGTTATCATGATTACGTACATACATACATACGTATACATATATATTATATATATACATATATATATACATACATATATATATATATATATATATATATATATATATATATATATATATATATATATATATATATACATATATGTGTGTGTGTGTGTGTGTATGTAAATATATGTATATATATATAATATATATATATATATATATATATATATATATATATATATATATATATATATGTATGTATATATATATATATATATATATATATATACATATAAATATATGTATATATATGTATGTATATATATGCATATATGTATATGTATGTGTGTATATTTATTTATGTATGTATATATATATATATATATATATATATATATATATATATATATATATATATATATATATATATATATATATATATATATATATATATTATATATATATATATTATATGTATATATAATATAATAATATATATATATATATATATATATATATATATATATATATATATATATGTATGTATATATATATATATATATTATATGTATGTATATGTATGTATGTATGTATATATAAACATATATATATTTATATATATGTATGTATGTATGTATATATACATATATATATGCATATATATGTATGTATATATATACATATGTATATATAATATATATATATATATGTTGTGTGTATATGTATGTATATATATGTATGTATGTATATGTACACATATATGTATATATATGTATGTATGTGTATATATATACACATACACACATACACACACATGTATATATATATATATATATATATATATATATATATATTATATATATATATAATATATATATTAATTATTGGCATTATTATTGATAACAACTACTATCATTATTGTATAATTATTATTATTTGTATTTTCATTGTCATTGATGTTATCTATATATTTCTACAAGTATCATTCTCCTTATCATTGTTGATCTTATTATTACTTTTATTATTATTGTTATTTTTGGTTTTACATTTTTTTTTTAATCATTTCACACTATTGTCATCATTATCATTAATATCCTGATGACATTAAATGACTTGTTCGGTGGGCGGAGCTTATTAAGCGAAGGCATTGATCGCCTCTTCATCTCTTCTATTTTCAGGGTCAACACCGATGCATTGGGCAGGTCGCCGTGGACATTGGAGGACACTGGAAGCTCTCGCGGCGAGCGGGGCCGACGTGGACCCCGTCTGCAATAAGGGCAACACGCCTCTCCACGACGCAGCTTCAAATGGGAAGCTTCTGGCGGTGGGCGCCCTGATTGGCCTCGGGGCGTCCACCAGCAAGAAGAATAAGGGCGGCAAGACTCCACAGGACCTGTTGGGGACAACTTCCGCTGACAGAGTCTTCTCCATGGTAATGGCAGCCGGCAACCAGACGGGCGATATGGAGTCTTGGTTTTCGCTGCCATGCTTTGCGCCCCAGTGCTGGTGCCAGGCTGGCGCCGTGGTCGCTGGCCGCCCTTACTGCTGTTTATTAGTCGAGAACTGAAACGAATGTTCTTTTTGAAATCATTGAATGTTCTATGTAGAGTCCACTAAACCGAGTTACTTTTCAGGCGAAGGAAAGTGCTGCGGCGGAGAAGGAGAGGAGGAAGATGCAGGTCAGTCATGTCGTGTGGATATGCAGAGCACTCAGAGAAAGATCATGATATTAAATACAGTGATAAAAATTAAAGGTGAATTATGTTGTGTAGATTAAGAATAACTGATCACTCTGACCCGCTTCTCGAGGAGCAGGAGAAAGAGATGCAGAAGAAGTACGACTCGAAAGCGGCGGAGGCGGGGGCAGAAGAAGTACGACTCGAAAGCGGCGGAGGCGGCCAACCTGCAGAAGGAGTACGACTCGAAAGCGGCGGAGGCGGCCAACCTGCAGAAGGAGTACGACTCGAAAGCGGCGGAGGCGGCAACCTGCAGAGGAAGTACGACTCGAAAGCGGCGGAGGCGGCCAACCTGCAGACGGCGAAAGCGGCGGAGGCGGCAACCTGCAGAAGGAAAACGGAGACATCAAAGAGAAACTGAAGGAAAAGGAAGCAGAAATCAAACAAGTAGAGGTACGTGCACAGAGAGAGGATACAGGTCTCGGGCATCTGGTTCCCTTAGCGGAGAAGCATTCCTGACGCGCGTCGTCTCCTCCGCAGACCGAGTGCGAGGCCAAGATGCGGGACACGAACACAGCCTACAACGCCAAGGAGGACGAGGCATACGACCTGAAGAGGGAGAAGGGAGACCTGATGCTAGAGAGGGGAGAAAGAAGAGGAGATAAAAAAGCTAGAGGTATGTAAGGGAGATGAAGAGAGGGGAAAGAGAAAAGCTGAGAGGGAGAGGGAGAGAAAGATACAGGAGGTGAGAGAGAAAAAGAGAGTGGAAGACAAAGTGGAAAAAGGAATGAGAAACGGGTAAAAGGTAGGAGAGAAAGACGGGGAGAAAGGGAGGTGGGATGGGGACATAACACGGGGAGGAAGCAAAGTAAAAGTTTGATTCCGTTCGAAACATCCTGACCAAGCTTGACTGCTTCAGGGCCAGGTGAAGAAGGCGCGAAGGGACCGGCAAAGGGGCGAGAGAGAGGCCGGGGCCGAGAGGGAAGGCTTCAATGCGCAAATCGCAGGCCTTGAGGAACGCAATGCGTCTCTCCAGGTGAGTTGTCAGCCGTGTGATCAGATACAGACTTGCAGCGATACTTTTGTTACATGCTATATCAATAGCATATGTGCATATATTAAGTTGGTACCACATAGACGTATATGTAGTGCATCCACCTGTATGTATATATGTATCTTTTCATCAGAGTGAATAAACACAAGGGAATAAATCTGAGAGAGAGAGAGAGAGAAGGGTATAGAGTGAGGGTGGAGGGAAGAGAAATGTGATAAACAGATAAAGAGAGGCAGGGAGGGAGAGAAGAGAGAGAGAGAAAGGGAGAAAGAGAGATAGAAAGAGAAATAGAGAGAAAGAAAAAGGTGAGCGGAAGAGATAAAGACATAAAAGATGTGCATATACAGATGAATAGAAAAATAGAGACAGAGAGGGATAGATAAAAGAAAAAGGAGGTAGGGTGAGAAAACCAAAGAGAGAGGAGTAGATAAATATATAGGCACACACAGAGGCGGATAAATAAACCAGTAGATGAACAGATAGATAAATAGATAGATAATGAAAGAAAAGGAGGTTGGAGGAGGGGAACAGAGGAGAAAGGAGACAACAATAACCTTGCCTTCCCCGCAGTCTCATCTGGAAGAAGAATCGCGCAAGAATCTAGCGCTGACGACGCAGATCGCAGAGAAGGAGAGCGAGCTCACGCAAGCCGAGGTAAGGGATTCATGTCGAACAGATTGCAACAGGAACAGCGAAGGGAAGAACAAGGAAACACGGATATGGCGAAGACCTTTTCGCTTTACTGCTTCGTCAGGGCATGAGTGTGTGCCCTGATGAAGCAGTGAAGCGAAAAGGTCTTCGGCATATCCGTGTTTTTTCTCGCTCTTCCCTCGTTGTTCCTGTTGCAAGCCGAGGTAAGTCCTCCCTTTGGAAGCCAAGGAACCGCTGGAGTGCGCGCACAGAGAAAGCCAATCGTCAACACAAGCAGGTGTTCCATGCCGCAGTACTCATAGAGTGTTCGTTTCCAGGCAGATCACGAGAAAAGGGTGAAGAACCTCAAAAAAAGGGAGAAGAGGAAAGAGAAAGAGGCAGCCGAGGACAGAGGCGAGCTTGAGAGCGAACTCAAGAGACGAGACAAGAAGATCGAGGACCTCAAGGTAGGGGCGAGTTTATTATATATATGTATATATATACACAAAAATAACAAATAATAATGATGAAAAATAAATGATAAAAAATAATAATAATAAAAAATAATAATGATAAAAATAATAGTAATGATAAAAAAATAAGGACAAGGAAATTAACCTTTTCTTCAGAAGAAACTAAGAGACCAAGAAGAAGAAAAAGAAGTCGACCCGCAGTCCGAGGAGGAAGACAGCCTGCTGAAGCGAATGATGGTGAGTGCCCCGCGTCCAGACGCTTCCCTCTCCGTCGGGTGAAATAAAGGCTATTTCTATGCAACTGCAGTCTGCAGGGAGGGAGGGAGGCAAGGGTTCAGATCTTATCAAACAATGATAAACAACAAGAGAAGAAAATACATGTAATTTTCTCATTTCTTCACTTCAGAGGCAGGTGCGCGAGCAGGAAGAGAAAATGAAAGACGTTCTTTCTGCGATGGAATATTTTCGTCTGCAAGAAATGGAGGCAAGTGTGTCAGCGATTCAATTAGTTTCTATTAAAATGTTTCTGTGAATACATACACATTTCTATATACATGTATATGCATATGTATACATATATATAGTATGTATATATCTGTGTGTGTGTGCGCGTGTGTGTGTATTTATGTATGGGTATATATTTGAATATATATATTCATGTATATACATATATATGTATATGTGTATGTGTGTGAGCTGAGAATTCGGAGCGCGACTGAGTGTGAAGATCCTTCCGAGGTGTTTCTAACTCGCGCCTCTTCTCCTGCCGGACCTGCAGCCGCCTCGAGACCCCGAGGCGCCGGGCGCTGGCGAGCCCTCGGCCGTGGGCGGGAGGAGGAGGGTTCGGGGAGCAGCTGGCAGCGGCGACACTCCGCCAGCAGCTGCCAGGGACGGGGCGAAAGCAGCGGCAGGCGGGGGAGACAAGCCTCGGCAAGCAACTGGCAGAAAGGGCAAGGCCAGGAAGGCACCGGAGGACGACGAGCCTTTGTCAGCAGCGGGCAGGGATGAGCGTCCGGAGGCAGCAGGCACGAGGGAAAGGTGCGGCAAAGGGCAGACAGGAAGGCCGAGGGCGAGGAGAGGCGAGGTGGCAGAGGGCGAGGTGGCAGCCGAGGGCGAGGTGGCAGCCGAGGGCGAGGTGGCATCCGAGGAGTCACCTCAAGAAGACAGCGACGCGTCAACAGAAGATGAGAGTGACGAATCAGTGTGATGTTATCCATCCTGGTTGAGATAGCATGATATGAAATACATAGAATATGCCTATCTTTTCTCTCCCATCTCCAAGCTTTTATGATTAATGCTGATGATAACAAAAGCAGAAATAATAACAGCAATAAAATTTATGATAGTGGTAATAACGACAACAAAAATCATATCAATGGTATTGGAAATTATAGTACTAAGGACAATGAACATGATAATGATAAATTAATACTAATAAGGAAAATAATGATGATGACATCGAAAATTATAATGAAAATGATAATAAATAGTTGTATTAATGACATTGACTATTATTACCATAATACTAACATTAACAAATACAATGATAATCATAGTAAAATACCCAACTCACAAAATCTGAACTCATTGAAAAGTGACATTTTCGAAATCAGTATCGATTTCATCCTCTCATTTGGGTAAACGAGAACAGGTCAAGGGTCAGGCGGTCTGTGCCAAGGTGGCCGGCTTACGGGAGCAGTCTGAGGATGCGGGAAGCGAGAAGACGCGGCAGATGGTAATACACACACATGCAATTACACACACACACACACACACACACACACACACACACACACACATTATATATATATATATATATATATATATATATATATATATATATATATATATATATATATATATATATATATATATATATATATATATATATATATATATATATATATATATATATATATATATGTATATATGTGTATATATGCACACACACACACACACACACATACATATATATATATATGCATATATATATACATATATACATATCTCTCTTTATATAAATAGTGTATGAGGGAGAAGAGAAAAACCAAGTTAAAGGAAGTCAAGACAAATGCGGGAATAACTTAAGTAAGACATTCAAAAGTAATTAAAGTTTACTATAAAAGTAGGGTAGTCATCCATCTCTCCTTGAATATTATATCTAAGTCTACTGATGACATTATGCTGAATTATTTTAAGTATATATCGTATGAAAATAACCAATGGAATAAATAGTTGTAGTAACAGTGTGCTTATAATATTGATATATTCCTTCTTAAAACCTTTTCTTATACAGTCATGGTTAAATTTTTCCCCTTGACATTTGTGATTCAGGCCGATAGTTGATATATTATGCAGTTAGTTACCTTTGTAGTGAATTTTGCTGCAGGGGTGGGTCATCGCGCAGGCTTTCGGGCCGCCTGTTCCCCTGACGTTACGGATCGTTCCTTGGATAACCTACGGACTCCTCCGCCCTGCAAGATGACGAGGCTTTGCTGTTTCCTGTGTGTCTGCGCTTTTTTAATAAGAATAAACCTGTTATTATATTCCTTTGGGTTACCTTTCCCACTGGTCCGTGATCTATCTCTACATCTACACACTCCTACTATACATGACACTACTTGTACTCTACTTACCTTATATTCCATACTTACCTTATTCTTGCCTTTTCGTCTTCGACTAATTCACCTTAGCTTCGTTTCCCTCCCGTTTCCCCTTCGTGATTCTCCGTTTTCTCTCACGGATCCCTTCTTTCACTTTTCGTACTTTCCTATTTTTGGTCTATTTTATCGTTCTTTTTATTGGATGTATTTCTGAACTTTTTTTCAAGCTCACCATACACTCTTTAACGAATAAATTAACTGCATTATGGGCAAAATCTCAGTAAGCGCGGGAGCCACCTGTATATAGGTCAAGTCAGATCGGGCTTGAGGGAAAGGCTTTTGTTGGATTTTAGCTGGCTGACTGGTGCTTCTCGAGCTGTGGCGGGTTGCCTCTGTTTTTATAAGTGTATGGTGTGTTGTCCTTGTATATTGGTTACGTTTTTGAAAGTTTTGTGCGAAATAAATGTATAATATGGATGCTCCTTTTTATGTTGCCTTTTTGTCAGCCAGTGATCTTATTTTATTGTTTTATCGTGACTACGGAATCACTCTCTGGCTCACCTGAGAGTCATTACTAATTAACGCCAGACTTACATGGATCTTACCTGTAGTTGGAATACACGCTACTAAATTAACATCTATAACTCTACGGAGTATATGATTATCCACTACAACCTTAAATATTGGCTTCTGTATCGATCCTTTTCTGTGGCTGGGCAAGACAGTTATGTTCATCCTCTTTGCTTCGCACTGACAACGGGTAACGTGTCTGGACGAACCTGTCATGGGTCCTAACACCCCGGTCGAGCTGTGGCGTTTCTGATTTGGTTAGCATCAGGGCTTTCTTTTGTTACTCAAGACCCTGCGGTTTTATGTATTCACGTAGTTTGTGTGTGTGTGTTTAGAGATAGTATGTATGCATATATGTATATATATATGTATGTATTATACACACACACACACACACACACACACACACACTATACTATATATATATATATATATATATGTGTGTGTGTGTGTGTGTGTGTGTGTGTGTGTGTGTGTGTGTGTGTGTGTGTATGTATGTATGTATGTATATATATATATATATATATATATATATATATGTATGTATGTTATATATATATATATATACATGCAGTTTTTTGTATACTTGAGTATATTTAAAGATATATACTGTTTCTATATACATATGTATGTCTCATATATATCGCTGTATAATCGCAGTCAACCGATAAATGCATAAATTTAGTCGTACGACCTAAGAAACCGACATGACTGAACAAAAATAAAGATGGTTCATGTCTTTGTTACATATATTGTACGTGCGAACTGTGTGTACTTGTTTCTATCATCTATTAGACTATTAGATATCAAAGTATGAATTAACACGAAACAATAAAAGCTTCAGTGTTAACATTAGATCAAAGCCACTTCAGTGCCACCTGGTAACGAATTGGCGTGTCAGAGAAATGGTGCATGACAGTCTAGGATGTCAGTGACAGTCTAGGATGTCAGTGACAGTCTAGGATGTCAGTGACAGTCTAGGATGTCAGTGACAGTCTAGGATGTCGGTCTAGGATGTCAGTGACAGTCTAGGTGACAGTCTAGGATGTCAGTGACAGTCTAGGATGTCAGTGTTACGCAAGGTGTACTTCGGAAAATTACTTGTACGATATATTAACTCTTAGTTTAAAACAACATTAATTTACAACAACAACAACAATACGTATTAACTTATATTGCCATTGAATTTTTTATGCAATAGTATACTGATGACATTGTACTTCTAGATCTCAAGACAAGAACAGATTCCAACAATTTCGCAATCATTCTGGCAATGCTACGCATATACTTTATATCTGGACAGTGAATATGAAACAAAGTAAAGTAACATTTCCCCCAATATGATTGTAGCAGATAACGATACAGGAAGCAGCTTGTTGACTAGAGTTTAAACAACTAACATTTCCGTCTATATCACATTTCCATAAGAGTTGATTTCATGGTAATTGATTTCCTTAATTTTACTGATATGTTTCTCAGAACAAGCATCACATATCCCAAGTTTTTTGTTTCATGAATTCCAGAAATGGTCAAGTCAGATACTAACAACTTTGATCGACACAAACATCAGGAAACGCGATTTCATGGAACAATCTTCAAGGTTAGGATTTTTTTTCTTTATAATTTAATGAGTTGCATTTATAGCAATTAGCAATGCGGTCATATGAATCTATTTATCTTCTCTCTCTCTCTCTGTCTCTCTGTCTCTCTCTCTCTCTCTCTCTCTCTCTCTCTCTCTCTCTCTCTCTATATATATATATATATATATATATATATATATATATATATATATATATATCTGTCTGTCTATCTATCTATCTGTATCTGTCTGTATATCTATCTCTGTATCTGACTGTCTGTCTATCTACCTATCTATATCTGTGTAGCTATCTATCTTTGGGACAAATTTATATCATAAATTTAAGTAAAAAATTCCTTGACCTTCACGCGCTGGTGAAGAATCTGCAAGTCATCGTGAGGAGCCCAATTTAATCAAACTTGTCTTTATCATTATTATTATTATCATAACTAATAACAATATTATTTTTATCATTATTGTTACTGCTGTTTTTGTCTTTATTGTTACAGTCATTCTTCTTATTATTATCATTATCATCATTGCTATAATCGTTGTTATCATCCTTATTATTATTATCATTATTATTATTATTATTATTATCATTATAATTACTGTTCTTTTTATCATTATCATTATTATGACTATTGTTATTATTATCATCATTATTATTATTATTATCATCTTCATCATCATCATCTTTATTATTATAATGATTATTGTCATTGATATGATTATCATTTATTTTCATTACTGTGAATATTACATGTATCGAACCTAGGCCTACAATCTAGGTCCAGCTTAGATTTACTCAAGAATTATTTACGATATAACGTTCCCAAAAACTTATGCACTGGCATGTTGAAAATGCATCTCTTAATGTCATCATCATCTTCATCATTATTATCATCTCTTTTTACCATCATTATTATTTCTTTTCATTATTATAAACATTATCATTTTTATTTTTTATTTCATCATTATTATCATTACGATTGTTGTTCTTATCATCAACCTTATTTTTATCATTTCTATTATTATCGCTATTGTAATTGGTATCATTATTAACATCATTATTACTAATAATAATGTTTTCGATGTTACTGTTATCCTTTTAATTGTTATCATCATTATTTTCATTATTATCATTGTTATTATCATTATGATAATTAGTATTATTACTAGCATTGTTATTGCTATTATCATTATCATTACTATTATCATCATAACAGATATTGTTATCACTATCCTTATAATCATTACCATATTATGATATTATCACTATTATCATTTTCTATCATTAACATGATTCCCATTTTTGTTATCATGTTTATTTTCGTCATCGCTATTATTATCATTATCATTAATATTATTCTTGAACCCGGTAAATAGCGAATATATATGCAAATTGTTCTTAGAGGCATTGCACGAAAAGCATCAGCTTAGTTAACGAAAGAAAGTCCACCATTGCTCAGCTTTCACCGGCGACTGTCTGCTGCCTTTGGAAGGGAAGCCAAAGACCTAATTTTCTGACGTCTTGAACCAGGACAGCTTTGGCTACATCGAGACACTACCCCCCCCCCCCCCTTACTACACTACTCCCACACACACAAAAGAGGAAAAAGATCAGTTCTTGAACGATGCAGATGATAATAAGGAACTGTATTGCACTGCAGGAGAGCCGCCTGTCTTTTTTTTTTTTTTTTTTTTCTTTTCTTTTCTCCTTTTGCAACATGTTTCCTTTCGGTCCTCGCTGTCTTCCGGTGTCCATTAACCATCCTTGGTCTGAATCGCTAATTGCATTAAATGGACTAATGGTATGATGCTCTCACATGTGGCTTCTTTCCCTGTCAATAGATGGTCAGCTGATCAGCAGTTTCACTCACCGTTACTGGCTGACACACACACACACACACACACACACACACACACACACACACACACACACACACATAATATATATATAATATATATATATATAATATAATATATATATATATATAATATAATATTTTTTTTGTTTTTTTTTTTTGTTTTTATTTTTTTTTTTTATGTGATTTTTATAATTAATTTTATTTATTTGATTTTGTGTGAAAGTGAGTGTTGGCGGAACACATGGCAGGGGGGTTTTTTGGTGATGGGGAGAGCATTCGGGTAATGAAATCTCCCTCTAAATTCCTGTTGTATGATTAGTCTGTACACGTCGGCCACAAACAACGATGGACTTGCCAAACATCTGGAAGAATCGGTCCTCGGATCTACAAGGAGGAAGCTGCAGGCGGGCCTAAGGAGGGAACATCACACGCTTGTTCAAGTTTCCGAGATTATAGCTTGCCGCTACAAGAACGGCGAATAAGGAATCAACCACGATAAGACGGTATGATGGACCAGAGTTGCATCCGTCTGTGCCGAAATGGGCGAGCACCGCCATCAGTCTTGTCCAGAGACGTACTGGCAACTGCTTAGCCCGCACAGCTGCGGCTTTGGCCATCGTATCATGGACTGAGCGGTAAGGAATGGCTCGTTCCATTGCCTGTCAATCAACTTTCCCCTTGTTCCATCGTAATTCTCCTGTCAGACCGGATTCCTACCGCTTTTCCTATCTCTCCTTCTCCAGTTTTCTAGTGCGCCACAAACTTCGTTTGTCAATGTCCTCTGCGGTTTCCCGTCTAACATCATTCATAACTAGACTTATTGATTAGAGCCTAGTCTCGGGTCTATAAGTCTCTCTCTCTCCCTCATCATCTCTTCATCACCTTTTTTCCTTCCGCGTCCCCTCACCTCATCCAACTCACCTCTCAATCTCAGAATGCTCTCCTGGCTTTCGCACTCCCTTCACGGACAAAAATTTCACCACAAATTCTACTACTTAAATTAAATATACTTCAAAATCATAATCTTATTACAAACTCATTACAGGCTCATAATATCTACAACAAAATCTCTCAGACAAATATCTCTAATCTTCTCTCTAGTGATCTTTACTCTATCGTATCTCTCTCTTCTTCTCATCGTTCATCTTATATCTCTCTCACTCTCATATCTTCATCTATCTTCATACTATATAATCCTACTCTACGACACTACACTTAGTATTCTCGTGTGTTTTTGCTTCTCGTCTCTGGTCTCTCGTTTCTTCGTCTCTGTCTGCTGTCTCGTGTGCCTCTGTCTTCGTCTGTTTCTGTCTCAACATCGTGTCCTTGTTCTCTTCGGGTGCTGCGTGTCGGGATCCGGCGAGGCGTCGGGGCCATAACGGGTGATGGGTGAGGCAGAGGAGGCTTTCGCTGTCGCTCCTGATCGCTGGCGCGGCGTTGGTTCTCCTCTGCTCAATCGCTCTCGCTCTTCTCCTCCGGATCTCATTCCCATTCCCCTTAACTCTCTTCTCCCTCTCTCTCTTTCTTGACAGCGTCTACAGGTCATCATCTGTCCTACCTCCCTCCGTCTCTCTAGTTCCTGGTCTCTACGAAAGCAAATTCTCATTCTCTCACATTCGTCCCTCATTCTTTCTCTATCATAATGCCAATTGAACGAATTCCCCAAGACCCAGCACGGTCTCTGTATCGCTGTTTTCTCATTCTTACTGCTTCCCGTACCCCTACCCTCCGCGTTGTCTCATCTGCCATCCGCTCTCTCTCCCTGCTCGAGTCCAGGTATTCCCTCCCCGCAATCGAGGATTAACATCGTTCTGTCCTAACATCAATCGCGAGTCACACAAGATAAAGATCAATCGCTCTACGCATCAATCATATCAAAAAATACAGTCGCGGCTCCTCTCGCTGCAGGTCGGGTGCGTGGGGTCGTGCATCATACATTTCCTTATTTACCTCTATCTCTGCATCGGTTTCTATACGAACTGTCCTGTATCTTCTTTCTCTTTTTGTGTGGTGGGTATGCTAGTTCGTGCCTTAAGGGGGTGGTCGGGGGGGGTAGTGTCTGACGTAGCCCAAAGCTGTCCTCTTCAAGCTACTTTCTCATCAAAAATTCAGGCTCCTTATGAAGCTCTACCCTATCTCCCAAGAGGAAAGGCGAAGCTTAAGAAACAGTCGCCGGTGAATAACTTGAGACAAAAATGGTGGACCTGATTATCACTTTATCCGATTGAAACTAGCGTATAAAAGCTGAATCGTCTTCTTTTTTATTTTCTCCTGTCGATATAACTGCCCTCATCTTATGCTCAACAATTATTGCTCTATATATGATTCTCTATTTACCGCTTCCCCTCTCTCGTGCGTGGTTTCACCTTCTCGTCGCCAAACTATCCATACTTCCTCGTCGTAAATGTATAGAATATGATCACCGAATGAAAGAAAAAACATAAATACACCCATGGACCAAACCAAAAAAAATAGATGGGTATATTCATGTTAAATAGAATGAATTATCAAAATAAAAAATCTTGAAGGATCCATAGTATATTGGATTAATATTCTATATCAAAAATAATAGACCACGGAAAGTTTAGTTATTATAATGATGATGCCTTAAGGAAAATGGGTACGTTCCATCCGTATACAATATGTTTTATTGTTAAAATATAGAAAGATTTAGACATACGTTGTATAAACGAAAAGTGGTTAATATGAATAATGTCCAACTGCAGATGTAGTCCATAATTAAAGGCAATAAATGATTAGTGAATAATAAATAAAATAGGGTAAAATTCAAGTGAGAAAAGAGAGTAACTATTTATCTGCAACTGATGTTCCTGATATCACTTGCTGAGCAAACAAGCTAATCAGTATGAAATAAACGAATTAGATTAAGAGTAGAGAATATTATCAGTCATACAGTCCGATAATCTCCTGATACATAGACTAATCTTTGGAATAGTTATTGTTAATAAATGATACTCTGGAACCATTACAAGTATACGTTCGAATACAGAAATAGAAATGAATAAATAAAGGTTGATTGTTAAAATTACAAGTAAAACCAGTATCGAGAATCGTATCGAGTGAAAAATGTGAAGTTAATTGGAGAAAAATAGAAATAAAAATAATAGACTAGAAAAAATCACAATGGATTTAATTTGAAAGCCTTCTAATCTGTACTGGATATATTAAAGATGACAGAACTAATAGGAGACTACTAAATGAATGGTAATTAGCTAATAAAGGAAAATAAAGAACATGTATAGATTTAAAAGAGGAAAATAAGAACGAATTTGCTAATGAATGAAATGATATTATAAAGAAAAATGAACCATATGTCAATTCCAGAGCCATACCCCAGTCCTTAACGTATTTTTTGGTTGGTTAGTCTTTAATTTGATTTTGTTTAATTATTTTTTCTTTCGTATAATCAAATTCCCTTATCTTGGTAATACCTGCTAAAAACTTGTACAGCCTAAAGGGTGTGTATTAACTAATGTCATTAATAACAGGAGGTGAATCCGACAACAATTGTTCATAATAACTGAAATATCAAAATCTATTTAGGTCTTATATTAGAAGTCCATTATTAAGAAAATCAAATTTTCAATGAATCCGCATGATTACCAATAACAGCTTAAGATGCCAGTCGACTATGTGATATTGTACATAATTATGAATAATTATATACAAAATTAATAAGTTGTAACTTTGAGCATAACAAAACTATATCAGAGTATTATACGTAGTTCCAGTCATGAACATAATCTACGTATAGATAATTCATGTATGTAAAATAACTAGAAAGCCAACTTAAACTGCACTCTACGCCTAGCATTAAGACTAGATTCAGAATCGCCTCATAAGATATTATTCAGATAAGAATATAAAAAATAAGAAAAAAAGCTTATTATATCATTAAACACCAAAGTGAAAAATACGAGAAAATGAATGACGATAGCGTCGCCTCATTCTCTTTCTCGAATTGCCCGAGAACTCCCTCTGTCTCCATCTCCTCCTTTAACCGATAAAATAATAACTTGTCTAACATAATGTTCTATGATATTATGACATTGATAAAGTTATGATACTATAAACTTTCTCATTATCTGCGATAATGGCACGTAACAAGTTAGATTTAAGGAGAAGCGCAATGGTGACCTCTACTCTCGCGTGTTATGTATCCGCTCTTTGGCAGTTTATCCACAACGACGCGTGAAGGATCCAGGACTGTTTTCTAATCCCCATTCTATTAACTTTTGTCCGATCCTAAAATTTGTCCCGAAAGAAACTAGTAGCTAACAGCAGATATGAGAGGCTCTTGGCTACCAATACGTGAAACGTCCGAGCACATCGCGCCTCAAGTTAATAGCATTCGCCATAACAAATTATGTAATAGACCTTAACATAAAGAGCTTACAGTGCCTTAAAGTGAACCCAGCTGTAATTGTGCATCAAAATGCGTGATTTGTTTCTTGGAATTAACTATGATGAAATTACAAAGTATACCGATCGATCAGTGTGTAACACAGCGAGAGAATAAATATGTTACTATATGTGTCGAGATACAATCATCCTTGGGAGTGCATGAAAGATAAGGAGGCGCCCGCCAGATTAACAGACATAATACTATAATTCCAGATCAAAAGGTTAGGTTTAAATTACTAGACTGATTAATAAGCCTTGGATATACATCTCCATCGTACTATTCATTATTAGAAATCACATATTCTACGAAAGTGATATTTCCCAAATGTACTGTAGTTAATAGATGAAAGCTAAAAAACGAATTGAGAAGAGCATTTTTCTGCGTCATTCGTGGGAAGCAACAGCAAATGATAACGGGCGACGGTAAGGTAAGAATCCTGTTCATAGTCTGATGCTATTCGGTAACGATTACGTCTGTTAATAACAAGTCATTATAAAAACATTAAAATAGGAAATATTGAAAATGGTAAAAATGAATCACCATTAAGAGGCAGTCATGCTATCCACAAAACCACAGAGGATTACATATTTGTTGATAAAATGCATATTTATATAGGCCTATTGCGGCGTCTACCTCTTTATTCTCATCTATGATATGTATAGCTATCTATCTGTATCTATCTATCTATCTATCTATTATATATATATATATATATATATATATATATATATATATATATACATACATACATACATACATATATATATATATATATATATATATATATATATATATATATATATATATATATGCATATGTATATAGATTTATGTCTTTCTCTTTTTTTCTCTCTCTCTCTTTCTTTCTCTCCCTCCCTCCCTCCTCTCTCCCTCTCTCCCTCTCTCCTCCCTCCCTCTTTCTTTTTCTCTCTCTCTCTCCTTCCCTCCCTCCTTCCTACCCCCCTCTCTTTATTTCTCTCCTATCCTTCCTTTCTCTCTATCAATCTATCTATCTCTATCTCTCTCTCCCTCCCTCTCTTCCTCTCTCTCTCTCCTTTCTCTCTCTCTCTCTTTCTCTCTCTCCCTCTCTCCCTACCCCCCCCCTCTCTCTCTCTCTCTCTTTCTCCCCCTCCCTTCCTTACGTAGCAAGGCTAATGTATTACATCAAATATATGAATCCTAAGTTAGAAATATGTACGAACTTAAATCAATCCTATTTAACAAAATTGAACCAATATATGAATTTGTGATTATGATTGATCTGTGGTAATTTTGCATCCTACAAAGGTGAGAATATTCATTATATCTGTATGGATGTCATTTTATGATTAAGCAGAGCATAATGTACAATCTCTTTCAATGAAATATTTTTGGATTAATTTTATGTGTATGTTATATGCTCCTGTAGATATGATTATAATTATATTTATTTGTATAAAGTATATATGTATTTGTATAAAGTTTTCTTATTATTATTATCATTATTAATATCCTCTCTATCTATCTATCCATCTATCTATTTATCTCTCCCTCTTCCTCTCTCTCTCTCTCTCTTTCGCTCACTCACTCACTTGCTCTTCCTCCCTCCCTCCCTCCCTTTTTCTCTCTCTCTCGCTCGCTCTCCCTCTTCCCTCCCCCCTCTCTCTCTTCCTTTCTCTCTTCCCTTCTCCCTCTCTCTACTCTAATTCAACCCGTAAATAGAGAAGCCAGGGTTTCCCTTGCGCGGGGAGGCGGTCGAGGCACAGGGTCGGGCTAGATGCGGGGAGGGAGAGGTGTGTTGGTGGGGAGGAGAGGAGAGCGTGTATAGGGTGGATGGGGAGAGGAGAAGGAGATGGGTGGATGGGGAGGAGAGGTGTGTTGGGGAGGAGAGGAGATAGGGTGGATGGGGAGGGGAGGGTGTGTGGGGAGGAGGAGGGAGGGTGTTTGTGTGGGGAGGGGTGAAGGGGGAGGAGGAGGAGAGGAGGTGTTTGTTGGGGGAGGTGAAGGGGAGGAGGAGGAGAGGAAGGTGTTTGTGTGGGAGGAGGAAGAGGGGATGAGGGGATGTGGTGGGGGAGGAAAAGTGGGGAGGGTGTTTGTGTGTAGGGGGGGGGAAGAAGGGGGAGGGTGTTTGTGTGTGTAGGAGGGGGAGGGTGTTTGTGGGGGGGTATGTGTGGGGGGAGGAAGAGGGGAGGGAGGGTGTTTATGTGAAGAAAGAGGGGGAGAGGAGGAGGAAGTGGGGGGGGGAGGATTTGTGTTTGTGTGTTTGTTAGGGGGAGGGGATGTTTGTTCGTGTTGGTTTTGTTTGTTAAATGTGGTCTTGGAGAAGAAGGGGGGGGGGGGGTTGTTGTAAAAGGGAAAATGTTTGTATGTTAATTCTGCTCAAGCGGAGGTTTGTGTGGTTGGGGGGGGGGCTGTTGTAAGTGAGGCGTGTTTGTGTTTGTTACTTGTGGACTCGTGTGTGTATTTTCTATATATACTGTAAATGCATGTTACAGTGCAGGAAGCAACAGCATGAACGTTTATATACATGTACATAAACAGAGAAAGGAGAAAATAAGAGAGTTTTGAATTATTATTATTATTATTATCACCATCATCACCATTATCATTACTTGTAGCATTAACATTATACCATTATCATTATCGTCACCATTATCATTACCATTTTCATTATCATTGTTTTCATCATTATCATTACACCTACCATCATTATCATTATCAGAATCATTACCACTGTCATGATCATTACCGATATCACTATTATTACTCTCATCTTTATCATCACTATTGACATTATACTTTGATCGTTATCATTATTACCATTAACATTGTTAACATTATCATTTTTTATATTTCTATTATCATTTTTATCCTTATCATTACCACTATTATTGTCGTTGTCATTGACATCATCATCATCATCATCATTTCTTATGATGGTGATTATAGGGTTTTGCCGGCGCAATTAAGACGCCGTTTTAAATGAGAGCACTTTCGTTTTTGATGTTGTATGGAAAGACGTAATGTCGTTAAATATCTATTATACGAAATATGATACACAAAGTAAATAAGCACACATAAGGAAATGACAAAAAATATTAGTCTTCTAAGATTATAACGTTCACGAATTCACTCTTCACCACGACCATTGTTTTTTCATCACCGTTCACTATTCACTATTCACTGCGTTCAACATTTTCAAATTTCATTTCATTCTATACCGCGCATTCCATAAGGAACCTTGGCCGGCGTTTTCAGTCTCATCTCACTGGGTCTTCATCGGACTTTGTCGCTAGTACAGGGTCTTGAGGAATATCAGCCCAGTTCTTCAAGGACATAAAACACCACCAAATACAATTCTGACCTTTGTCCCCACCTCTATGTAAAAATCAAGATAAATTGTTTTCCATCAACTTAATCCACATTTACCCAGTGTTAAAAAACCCTATAAATGGTTATATATAAGCCAGACCTTATAGTTTAATTACAACACAAAATAGTCAGCAACCGACGTGATGGCAGCGTGGCCCACAGCCTGGGACTACCACACTCCTCCGCCAGTCGTCGCGCCTCCGCTGAAAAGACCATTCGCCTCGCTTAGGCCTACCAGGGCCTACCAAGAGAGCAACCGCAGCTGGCTACACCACAGACGACGCTGACATCATGTCCCCGAAGAGACTTGTTACACTGATTAACGATTTCCAAACCAGCAAATGAGATGGCATGGCGCTTGTATTGCTATTATCAGCTATATTATCATTACTATTATTGTTATCATTATTACTATTATCATTATCATTTTTTCGTTACTACCTTTTTCATTATTTTTTCTGTACAACCATTATCATTTTTTTCATTATCATTATCATTATTTCGATATTGTTACTATGATTATCCTTGCTATTATTTTTTTCACTCTTATTATTTTCACTATAAATATCATCATCATTATTATCATCTTTATGGTTCTTGTTGTTATTACTATTGTCATTATCATTGATATTATTAGTAGCAATATTATCATGATTATCATTATTGTTGTTAATGTTATAATAATCATCATTACCATTATCACTAATGTCACATAATGTTAAATTTTAAGTATCTAAAAAATGAAGTTCTATGTAACAAGGGCATGAAAAGATGTTTAACCCATTAGGCCATTACTGTGTTGATAAGAATTAGTATTATTTTTTTTTTTCAAGGTAAAAAAATCAGACATTCCTGACCATGTAGATTGGCCTCCTACAAGGTGAAGGTGGAAGGTGGAAAAAAGGCGAGGAAAGAGGAGAGAGAGAGAAAGAGAAGGAGGGAAGAAAGAGGAGAGGGAGAGAGAGAGGAAGAAAGA